AATGTGAGATAATCCTCTGCTCTGCTCAGTCTGGGTAAGACCTCAGGGGCTGATGTGTGTGTCCAGTTTTGGTCACTATTCTTCAAGAAAACTGTGAACAAATGCAAAAATGTGGAGAGCTAAATGAATGACCACATACCTATGACCAAACATGCAAAGATGTAGCAAACTGATTATCTAATGTAGATAACAGATAATTGGGGATACATGTAAGAAGCTTCAATTAAGTAGAAGTGTGATACAAAGACACATGATTCTTTGGGATAGGGTAAGAAACACTGAGCTCAGGGGGAGCAGAGAGATTTAGTTACAAAACTAGCAACAGTTTTTTAACAGAAAGTACAGGTAAACAATGAAATACATTGTCCTGGAGGCTGTGGATCGTCTCTCTTTCAGGATCAGGTTAGACAGTCATCAGCAGGTTGATGTTGTCTTAGGGCAGACAGGTAAAATAGACCACTGCTTCTTGATTGTAAGATCACAAACTTTTTGAAGAGATCCACAGACTCTCTTGTATCCTACAATTTTTTTGGTGGCTATAAAGAATAAAGCCCTCAAGATATAATAAACTTTACTGTTTTCCAAAATTTGGATCTTATTATTAGACTTTAAAACATTTGAATTTGTAACTGGTAGTAGGTGGGAACCAGTTCCTGAGTCTACCTGCTGACAGGCAGAAACATAGCTGCCATCCATGTGATCCTTTTTTTGTTAATAAATACCCTCATGGACCACGAGCAGCCTGTAGACATCAGCCCTAACACCACACTCTTGAGATCCCTATTGCCTTTGATGCCTTGGACACAAGAAAAGGCTTTGCTGGTGCTTGGTTTTCCTCCACCATCACTGTGAGCCATATAGACACACACGCTTCTTCACTATGAGAAACAGCTTTCCCTTGTCTTCGCTGGCTCCTTTCCAACCTTCAATGGCTGACAGTGTAAAGCAGCTCTAGATCTGGGGTGTCCTCATGACTAGCCACTCTGAAGGCTACTTAAGAGGACAGCGCTACAACCAGTTCGAATCTGCCTGGTTTGGTTTCTGTGCTCTCCCTACCTTTTCCAATGTGTTATTGTAGAAGGAAGCTTCTTGGTCAGCAGTCTGGGTCAGAAGGCATAACAAATACTGCTCTTCAAAAACTGTCTAATAGTGACTAAGAGAAACCATCCCTTCACTCAGTGGAACCAAAAATGAGCTTTTATTATCAAAATACTACTCATGTGCCACCTGCCGGCTACTGGGAAATACTGCACACAGGAGGGGGTCAAGATTCTTGCAGTACTACCAACTAGCATAGGGAAAAGGATGGTACAGAAGGACGGTCATGGTTACTGCTTCTTCTAGGAGGATGAAGCACGTCCAAGGTGTATGAACACTTTCCTCACTGATTTGGCTACCTGTCTGGGTGAGGACCAAAAAGGGTCCTCACCCAAAAGGGTGTCAAGCCAGCACTTTCAGAAAAGAAAATCTGAAGAAAATCCCCAAAGTGGATAAAAGGCTAGTTCTCAGTGTGTCTTGAGTCTTGAATTTGAGATTTTACCTTGGCAGATGGCTTCTAGGGGAAGATAGTTTAGACTCAGTCTTGTGAGCTACTAAGAACTGATGCTGTTTATTTTCCCATCTCTTTTTAGCTCTGTCTTTGGGCACATCAGGGACAGCAAGAAGAGAAGAACAAACCATCTTTCCTCTTGTTTCCACACAACCACCTGTGCTTCTCCCTTCTAACTCTGTCCCCTGCTTGTCTTCCTCCACTCTGCTGTGCATCCTCTTTTACTACAGAGGAATCTTCCTAAGTCTGCCCCTTTGAATGCAAAGAATAAACAACTCACTAGCAAATGGGTGGGTTAGCAAACGCAAGACGAATAGTAGACATGACATGGGTCTTTTGTGTAATACTCTTTACACTGCAAGAATCAATGGCGACAAACATGATTACACTTTACTATACCGCTACTACAAGGGGTACCTCCTGAAGTATGCTTATGTAGCATTAGTACTTGGCATCTGCTTTATCAATATGAAATATAAGAGAGTTACCTCTCATTATTCTATTACGTTTTAGGAACCAGGCCAGCCCAAATTTGTTAAGATCAGATATGGAGCCTGGTACCTTGACCCTAAAACATGGAAAAAGCAAAAAGTGGGTGAACCTTTAATGGATCCAAAAGAAACGGGCGACAGCGTTAAAAATTTCACGACACCATCCGTTAAGAAGGTACCGTAAGCACTATGAAATCATGGACACTGAGCTCAGCTGAGTCAAGGACTACGCAGTACATGATATGGGAAAATACCTGAGCACCATATCCAGTATTAACAGGAGACATAAGGGCTCCTACTATTCACCTTACCGGTGACAATGACTGCTTTTTTTCACTTTGTGACACCAAGAAGCCACAGTGTAAGGCCTGGCAATATGCAAACACAGACAGCTCTTACTCATCAAAAAGCTGCTACCTTCCTCCATGTCACCTAAGAGCTGTTGTCCTTTTCCTTCTCATTAGAGCCTCTTAAGAGCCCCACTGGGCTTTCTCCCACGCTGCCCTTGTGCTCAGGAAGAGCTCCCTTCAAATCTCCGTAAAGCTTCCCCTGCAAATCTCTTTCCTGACTTGTCTGTGGAATTCCAGACGCCCCACTAGTACAGCCAAAAGGGATAATAGGGCTGCTTAACTGATTTCTTCTCTACTTGTTCACGTTTCCATTTTGTTCTATTACAAAAATAAAACCAGAAGAAGCACTGCACTCACACAAGGGTTGTTGAAGAGCAGTGCTCTCTAACTTCCTTAATACCATAACTGTAGATACTGGGGATCAGACAGTGGAAACTGGCCAGGCTCATGAGTGCTCCCTAAACAACATCCCCTACTGCCGCTGTCAGAACCAGAAGAGTCAGGTAGATGGATCGCTGGTCTGATTCAATAGGGCGTTGAGAGCATTTCTTCTACTCTTGCAAATTACAGCTGAGATTCCCTGTCACCACACTAGATGGCATAGCTTACAGAGTAAAAATCAGAAAGTTAACTTGAGAGACAGAATGGACACGGGCCAGGGCTTTGTAATAACAGCCGTGGCTGCATAGTTGTTGTTTATAGAATTGTCAGAAGTAAATATAAACCCTACTGTTTTGGTTTTGAAATGTGAGAAGGTGGCAGGTTTGAGGCTCCTGATCTTGCCCCAGCCAGCTGGCTGGCAAGTCTGCAGAGTCACATGTAGCTTTTCAAAATCAGGTTCAGCAATTGCTACCATGTTTACTGAATAAACAATGGTGCAACAATGCCTCAGTGTTCACTGAAGACACTAACTTCTAAAATAATGCCACACTGGAAATGATCCCATGAATTAACTAAAATCTTGAATCAGAAACAGAATTGGTAATATCCCTGAGACTTTGAGAAGCTGCCTGCTTGCCCCTCTACTGCACTGTTGCTTTGTGTGCTTCCAGTGAAAACTTTTAAAAAAAAAATGCAAGATGTATTTTGCAGCCTTTCTATTAATCTGCTTTGGAAATTCTCATAGGAGAATCCCAAGTACTACGGGATGCATGCATTTAAGGAATTCCTGGAGAGGAAAGGCTACCGGAAACCAGGGGTAAGTTACCGATTACGATGATCTGTGCATTTGCATCGGAGCAGCTACCTCAGTGCTCAGCATCCTGTAGCTCTTGAGCCATGACTCTTCTCACTTCTCTTCTGTCAAGCATCTCTCTTTCTAATATGTGGTAAGTGATCAGTGACCCAGAAATTTCAGTCTTCGCAGTCACTGAGAACTTGCTCTAAAAAAAGGAAATACAAAGTAAGCTATAGACAGCCTAGGAGGAGTTCCAAGGCTCAAATTCTCTGCTAAGCTGGACAGGGTACCATTGTTACAGTCATAACTGAACCGCCTTAAACTAGTTTAATCCAGCAGAAATTCACATTGCCCCTGAAAGGGACAGGTCTGCCTTTCCCTTAGTCACCCATTCTCATTGCTCAGCAGCACTGAGCTCCCTGCTCCCTTTGACCCTGCACAAAACAGAAGCCACCCCACCGCTAGCAGCTACTGGCAGCGGGCTGGGGAGCTCAGCAGAGGGAGCAAGTTGGGAAAGGGTTATAAAACTGTTCCTCTCTGCTTGGGAGGGCTGTACAACTCTGTGGGAAGCCTGTCTCTGGTGGCACCTAGGTCCCTGTCACTTGTCTTTTCCGTGCTATTCAAATGCATTACTAGTAACCACAGTTTTTTGTGCGTGCATTTTGTTTTAGTTTCTTCTGCAGATACTAGGTGAAGAGGAGGCTGAAGCAACAGATGATGAGCCTGCGAGATAAACAGAACCAGGAGATAACTTTGCTCTTTTCTTACTGCTAAGAAGCGCCTTGCCTTTATATAAGCACTCTGCCTTTACTCTCTCAGACTTTTGTGTCTTGAAAATAAACTGTTCCTTAAAGATTTCTGTAACAGTTACTTCTAAGCTGTGTCAGTTTGGTTTCTCTTCCTTTCTTAGCCGTTTTATCAGATATACTGGAAAAAATAAATGTTGGGATTTGCAGATCCAAACACTGTCTGTTCTGATGTTCTGAGAGCTGGCAGAAGGATGCTCTTTCACAGTAATAAGAAAGGTAATGATTTCTGTCTGCTCTGTTTCAGGGAGGTGGTTAGGAATTTTCACCTACAGTCCACACCTACTACTTAAAGCACAACAGCACGTAGATACCCTAACTGAAAAGCACAGCTGTGCTAAGTGTTGTATAAATACAGAACAAGGGACTGTTTCTGCTCTGAAGACGAGAAAAAGGGGATATAAGCAAACTATGGAATTATAATCTACTATGCAAGGAGCAGTTAACTTCAACTTTCTGTTTGAAGTAGCAAGGCTACAAGTCTGAACACATCCCATACATCAAAGCACCAAAGTACGCATTTATACTAAAGCACAAGTTCAGCACTTTGTTGCAGCAAGGCTTCGGAGAAGGTGTTGTAGCTATTAGACCCATGTTGTATGCACAGAAAGGCAAAAATGTTTTAAATTGTGGGTTTGGTGTATTCACAGAGATCGACATGTACCACATCAGCCAGGGAACTTCACTGTGAAGACCGCACACTTGTGCTTCTATAAATTTAAATGACAGTTCATGTCCTGTTAAGCTGAGATAGCATTGCTCTAAATGACACTGAAAGATTAAGAACTTGGCATACTGGAAATAGACTTATTCGGACATCCACTTAGCCATTCTCTTTTCTAATGAGATAGCCGGTAAGATGTCATCAGTGGGCTTTAGAATTAGACAAAGACAACACCTTTGTTCAGATAAAGGGAATGGTTTTAAGAAAGCAGTGGTCAAAAAATCAACGGAACTACCTCCCCTAATTCTTTCTCTGCTGTTAATAGTCCAACCTGAACCGGTTTGTTAAACATTTTGAACATTTGTCACTCCGGGCTTATCGATTTGAAATACTAAATCGTATGAATTTCCTGGGTACTTAGCGTAAGATTTATCTGTACAATCATTTAATTCTGAATTAAATTTTGACGTCGTCACTTCAAGAGGAACAGAACTGGGTAGCAAAATGAAGCCAGATCAAAGTAATTGTCAAAACTGATTCTGCACTAATGGCATCTGAAGTCCTGCCAGTCCCCCACAAGCCCCCTGGGCGTAACACAAACGACAGAAGAGCGTGACAACATTAAGAAATCCACCTGTGAGCATTAGCATACGATGCACCTGGAGTAGCACCTGTATCTCACCTCTCGGGGAAACCAGGAAAACGCGGCCCAATATTCATCAGCACAAGCAGCAAAAGCACAAGCAAGTCAGTCACCCTGCTGGAACATATAAATCATAACGCCACCCGCACTGCTAAAATTAAACTCCACAAACTCCTGCGCTTACTATAGCTATAAGCTCACCAATCATGAATGCTTCTCCTATGAGAAAAATAAATAAATAAATGAATCAAGCTGTCGTTCGTCAGCTTTTGCTCGTCCTCTCACCTCGATTTTATGTTATCTTTGACTTAACACACCTGCAAGGGGGGAACGCCTCTGCTGTTGCCTCGGGCAGACTGCCTATAAAGGCGAGATAACGAGAGAAAGAAAGAAAAAGAAAACAAGGAAGGAGGACAGAAAAGGTAAGGGAGGGGGGGTGAGGAGGGAAGCAAGCCCTTTCACTTTCCCCCGCCTAGCTTATCATCTCTTCTTTTAATCCTTGCTTACAACCGCTCCGCATAAATTCAAGGCCAGCCCGCGTAGCGGCGGGGGAGCGCGCTTCGCGG